CATTTTCTCATCTGTTTAATCATTTAATAGAGAATTCTGCTGCCTATTTTAATTCTGACATTGCACAAGTATGACAGCATGTTAGGTTTGAACTCTCATACACATACATATATATAAACAAACTAACTGAGAATGAATATTCAAACTACCCAAAATTTGAACCTGATGTAACAGAAGACTGGTGCTTATTCTCCTATAGTACCTGCTGCTGATGATCTGACAGAGGGTTTTATCACAGGTATCAGGCAGAGGTGTTGGTGTAGGCTGGATTGGATGTTCACAGAAACTGTCGTTAGCATGCCACTCATGTGCCATATTAGGACATGAAGGATCAATTTTGCCACTGGGCAACATGCAGTCATCTGCCCGGCTGTTGTCACACGTGCCTAGAGAAAACCTCATCGTTAGTAAAATCACAACACAACTAAATTTAGACCTGCACTGCAGTTTCCTGCTGAATGACGCAGTGATGCATCGCTTTATGTAAGCTGGTTCTCTTATCTTATTTCAAGATGTAATCATACTGAGTACAGAATGTGTCAAATAAGTGCAATAGGTTCTAAAACTGTAAGATGCTATACATTTCTACTGCAGAACTCACCACACTGTCCCTCCGTGTTGTTGCCAAATACACTATAAGGCAGGTAGATACTGAATATGAGCCCTGAGAAGGTGACCTTGGCCTGAATTTCAGGGATGAGGAGCACTGTATCAATACCAGTGGTAATTATTCGGAAATCCCCATTCTGGTATGCAGGACTAACAGGCTTGTCATTCACAGAAACCTAAAACAGAAGCATTATGTTTTAAATGTCAGAAACAATCTTCTTTGGAAGGTACAGTTTTACAAATTAGGATTAGTTCGACTATGCAGTAAGTTTTGGTTAGTGACTAGAGCTTGAATTAAAAATGGAAAAAGTCAATAGTGCCACTTAATTACCTGGTTTGTAAAAATGCCATTGATATCCTTCTGGGTCATAAAAATCTTGTAGCTTTTGTAGAAGACAGTGATGGACTGAGGACAGGACAAGCCATCAGCTGCACCACAATAGTAGTTATCAATCATAACACTGAAGTTGTGTTTGGGCAATATCTCTTTCACCAGCCAGTAGGAACAGTTGCCTTGAAAACCATAGTAGGTTCCATCAAAGGTGACGTAATGGGGGTCTCCCCAACCGTAGCAGATACCTTGATATGATAAGATTTTTTGTTAAACATAGATCTGAGTCAAATAAAATGAAAACACAAAAAACAAAACATTGCTACAGTTAAAATGCTTTTACATATTTAATCTGAGGATTTCTGCAGCCAAGCAACATTTTAGTAGGTTTAACAGACTTACATTGGCATTCATAGTGGGAGCAGCATTCATCTTCATCCTTCACTTCAATAGCAGGGAAGTTGTTTGCACACACTACTTTCTTCAGTGCTGGACAGTTTGTGTGGTTATAGGTCACCTTGCCATTATCACATGTTCCAACACGACAGTTATTTACCTTCCAACTTTCACCATCCTACAAGGGGAATCACAGATTGTAATCAAAGAAAAGAAGTGAGGGTTGGTATTGTCGACATGATATTATAAAATCTATAGCAAATTAAATGAGCATTTAAGGATTGAGCAGTATTGCTGAAGAAATGTTGATGGAAACAAATGTAGAAAATACCTTTCTTGGAGGATTTACATCAACACACTCTTTTCCAGGTATAGCTGTAGTTATAGGACACGGGTGATGTATGGACACTACATGACAGCTCTCATTGCAGTAACCTATGAAACAGTGGCCATCATGATCGGTCACATTGTAGACTATGGAGCCTGAAAAGAAGGTACAGGAAGATTGTTTAAAAGGTGACATCACAAATATTACAAAGTCTATCACATATCACACAGATATATATATTCCATAAATATAAGTATCACTTATTATTTTACCACATCAATCAACTAGAGTTGTTGAGTTCTTTTACACATTTAGTTTAGTAGCCACTCTTTAACAGATGAAACTGTATAGTCTCTACAAGGCCGTTCTGAAGATGCTGATGCTTTGGTAAATAGGCTTGTAAATTACCAGCTGTGATTAATTGTAACAGTAACATATTGAACTGTGCCTTTGGACCAAACTGTGAATCATTTTTCATTGCTTTCGCACAAAATGCATTCAATGACTACTTTCTCCAAAATCCATGAACTCTTTTCTCATTACTTCTTACCCACTTGCAAAACACTATGTATATGCAGCACATTTGTCCAAAATTGTTGTACATCATTTTGTCCAATCTCTAGTCACATTTTCAAAACACTAAACACACTTAGTCCAACATTGGTCTGTTCATGCCATACCATTAAAACTATTCATGCTGTTTACACAGAATATGCAGTCAATTAACCCATTTCTAAAATGCTAAGTTTTACTTTACGTACAAGCTTACCCAATAACAAAACTATGGATGTTTTTTGTGTTATTTACAAATGCTAGCACACGAGTGTACGAGTGTAAAATGTGCTTGTCTTTTAGCAGATTTGTTTCAGGTGGTTTCTATATGTAATAAGCATATTAAAGCAAAAAACTGTTTATTCTTGTTACATATGTACATTTATTCATTTAGCTGACACTTTTAACCAAAGTGACTTTCTATACACGTCAGAGGTCACACACGTCTGGAGCAATTAGGGGTTACATGTCTTGCTCAGGGACACAACAGTTGTTGGGTCACAGTGGGGGATTGAACCTGGGTCTCTCAAACCAAAGGCATAGTCTTAACCATTGCACCATTGCCACCTAGTATGTTTCAGTACAGTCAATACAGTGAAAATATGTTATTCTTCTTCTATAATGAAATACTGATTATGTATACTTCAAAGATACAAAAGCATCATTTATGTGTAATGCTCCCTGTTGTTAGTGTTTTTTAGGTCTGTGTGTTATGAGTGAGAATTGTTGCCAGTGTTGGGTTGAATGAGTTTATTTTGAGACATGTAAGTGATGGTGGTGGTTTGAGTGAGTTTTGGAGGTGAGAATAACAATTTGGTCAAGAATTGCAGACTGTATAAAGTGTTTCGAAAAAGTGGCATCAGTATTGTCCGATGCTTGTTAGCAATTGAAAATAACTGTAACTGCTTAATAATTGGGAGCGAGAGCGGCAGAATTTTTGCAATACTGCAGGATCACTGATTTTCTATCTTTTAGCCAATGCTGAAAGAATTCACAAACAAGTCAAGTCAATATATTTGCAGGAATGGTAGCTGACAGCTTGTTGTTGCAACATGGGTTTTATTTTCTTGCCATTGACTTTATAATACTGTACTCATCAAAGTATTTGGTGAGGTGTAAGAACAGGACAACACAGAAAGTTAGTCCACCCAGGCAAGAAAAACAAGCAGTTAGAGGATGACACCAGTTGTGCAACTTCACAGTTTACCCAAAACACCTTGGATGTAAAACCAAAGTGAAATCTTGAAAACAAAACATCATTGCACGAGAAAAGTGTGAGTTTTCCAACATAGTTTATAATTTGTGTTCTGATGTACTTTTGTTCTTTGCTTCTAATATGGATATTCATTACTATTACTTCAGAGCAAAAGAAGGCTTACTTGAACAGGCTTTACAGGTTTATTTGAACGATGCCCAAAATACCTTGCTGCCTATTTAGAAGTCATTGTTACTGAGTAAGGGAAAAGAAGAGCAATACACCCAAGTTTGAAATTCACAGTTTCAATGATGTCTACCATAGATGTGACTCAACTGCAACTTAATGGTTTATGAATCAGAACTTACCAGGGAGAAACTTTGTACCATTGTGGAGGCAATAGCAAATCTGAGATCCAGTAACTTGTGGAGAGGTGGACGAAGTTCCTCCTGTCACTACAGGTACCTCAGGTGTGGTAGGTGTAGAGATGCTTATTGGTGGCTCAGCAGTAGTTGGTGTTTTAGTTGTGGTAGGAAGTGTAGGTGTTTTAGTAATTGTTGTTCGTGGCTGAGTTATGGTTGCTGTTTCACGTGTGGGAGAAGGGGTAGCGGTTTTAGTAGTAGTTGTTGTGTGAGTTGTAGGTGTTTCAGTTATGGTAGATGGTGTAGGTGGTTTGCTAGTAGAAGAAGTTGTAGCTGGAACTGTAGTAGAATGAGGAGGAGATGTTGGACACCCACAGCATTTCAATTGAATCTCATAATCAAAACACTCTTGCTCAAGCCCTTGTTGTTTGTTGATACATATGAGACCCGCATCTGTATTACAAGTCACATCTTGTCCTAGCTGTGACAAGGAAAGACCTGGGTAAAGAACAGCTCTACATCGGACTTCTACTGGGGCTGGGCAAAAAAGATGACCAGCAGAGATTATCTTCTGGATGGATTCATCTTCTCCACCATCAGGTCCTGGTGTGGGCTTTCCCAGATTGATCCATCCTGACCAACCACATGTCATATCATGACCCCCAGGGCAAGCTGTAGTTGTAGGTGGGTGAGTTGTAGTTGTTTCAGTTGTGGTAGAAGAGGTAGAAGTAGTTGTAGATGGGTGAGTTGTAGTTGTTTCAGTTGTGGTAGAAGGTGTAGTAGTAGTTGTAGATGGGTGAGTTGTAGTTGTTTCAGTTGTGGTAGAAGGTGTAGTAGTAATTGTAGGTGGGTGAGTCGTAGTTGTTTCAGGTGTGGTAGAAGGGGTAGTGGTTGTAGTAGTAGTTGTAGATGGCTGAGTTGTAGTTATTTCAGTTGTGGTAGAAGGTGTAGTAGTAGTTGAAGGTGGGTGAGTTGTAGTTGTTTTAGTTGTGGTAGAAGGTGTAGGTGGTTTGCTAGTAGAAGATGTTGTAGATGGAACTGTAGTAGAATGAGGAGGAGATGTTGGACACCCACAGCATTTCAATTGAATCTCATAATCAAAACACTCTTGCTCAAGCCCTTGTTGTTTGTTGATACATATGAGACCTGCATCTGTATTACAAGTCACATCTTGTCCTAGCTGTGACAAGGAAAGACCTGGGTAAAGAACAGCTCTACAACGGACTTCTACTGGGGCTGGGCAAAAAGATGACCAGCAGAGATTATCTTCTGGATGGATTCATCTTCTCCACCATCAGGTCCTGGTGTGGGCTTTCCCAGATTGATCCATCCTGACCAACCACATGTCATATCATGACCCCCAGGGCAAGCTGTAGTTGTAGGTAGGTGAGTTGTAGTTGCTTCAGTTGTGGTAGAAGGTGTGATTGTAGGTGTAGGTGGGTGAGTTGTAGTTGTTTCAGTTGTGGTAGAAGGTGTAGGTGTCTTGCTAGTAGAAGACGTTGTAGCGGGAACTGTAGTAGAATGAGGAGGAGATGTTGGACACCCACAGCATTTCAATTGAATCTCATAATCAAAACACTCTTGCTCAAGCCCTTGTTGTTTGTTGATACATATGAGACCCGCATCTGTATTACAAGTCACATCTTGTCCTAGCTGTGACAAGGAAAGACCTGGGTAAAGAACAGCTCTGCAACGGACTTCTACTGGGGCTGGGCAAACAAGATGACCAGCAGAGATTATCTTCTGGATGGATTCATCTTCTCCACCATCAGGTCCTGGTGTGGGCTTTCCCAGATTGATCCATCCTGACCAACCACATGTCATATCATGACCCCCAGGGCAAGCTGTAGTTGTAGGTGGATGAGTTGTAGTTGCTTCAGTTGTGGTAGAAGGTGTAGTTGTAGGTGTAGGTGGGTGAGTTGTAGTTGTTTCAGTTGTGGTAGAAGGTGTAGGTGTCTTGCTAGTAGAAGACGTTGTAGCGGGAACTGTAGTAGAATGAGGAGGAGATGTTGGACACCCACAGCATTTCAATTGAATCTCATAATCAAAACACTCTTGCTCAAGCCCTTGTTGTTTGTTGATACATATGAGACCCGCATCTGTATTACAAGTCACATCTTGTCCTAGCTGTGACAAGGAAAGACCTGGGTAAAGAACAGCTCTGCAACGGACTTCTACTGGGGCTGGGCAAACAAGATGACCAGCAGAGATTATCTTCTGGATGGATTCATCTTCTCCACCATCAGGTCCTGGTGTGGGCTTTCCCAGATTGATCCATCCTGACCAACCACATGTCATATCATGACCCCCAGGGCAAGCTGTAGTTGTAGGTGGGTGAGTTGTAGTTGTTTCAGTTGTGGTCGAAAAGGTAGAAGTAGTTGTAGATGGGTGAGTTGTAGTTGTTTCAGTTGTGGTAGAAGGTGTAGTAGTAGTTGTAGATGGGTGAGTTGTAGTTGTTTCAGTTGTGGTAGAAGGTGTAGTAGTAATTGTAGGTGGGTGAGTCATAGTTGTTTCAGGTGTGGTAGAAGGGGTAGTGGTTGTAGTAGTAGTTGTAGATGGCTGAGTTGTAGTTATTTCAGTTGTGGTAGAAGGTGTAGTAGTAGTTGTAGATGGGTGAGTTGTAGTTGTTTCAGTTGTGGTAGAAGGGGTAGTAATAGTTGTAGATGGGTGGGTTGTAGTTGTTTCAGGTGTGGTAGAAGGTGTAGTGGTTGTTGTAGATGGGTGAGTAGTAGATGTTTCAGTTGTGGTAGAAATGGTAGTAGTAGTTGTAGATGGGTGAGATGTAGTTGTTTTAGTTGTGGTAGAAGGTGTAGGTGGTTTGCTAGTAGAAGAAGTTGTAGCTGGAACTGTAGTAGAATGAGGAGGAGATGTTGGACACCCACAGCATTTCAATTGAATCTCATAATCAAAACACTCTTGCTCAAGCCCTTGTTGTTTGTTGATACATATGAGACCTGCATCTGTATTGCAAGTCACATCTTGTCCTAGCTGTGACAAGGAAAGACCTGGGTAAAGAACCGCTCTGCAACGGACTTCTACTGGGGCTGGGCAAACAAGATGACCAGCAGAGATTATCTTCTGGATGGATTCATCTTCTCCACCATCAGGTCCTGGTGTGGGCTTTCCCAGATTGATCCATCCTGACCAACCACATGTCATATCATGACCCCCAGGGCAAGCTGTAGTTGTAGGTGGGCGAGTTGTAGTTGTTTCAGTTGTGGTAGAAGGTGTAGGCGTTTTGCTAGTAGAAGATGTTGTAGCTGGAACTGTAGTAGAATGAGGAGGAGATGTTGGACACCCACAGCATTTCAATTGAATCTCATAATCAAAACACTCTTGCTCAAGCCCTTGTTGTTTGTTGATACATATGAGACCTGCATCTGTATTACAAGTCACATCTTGTCCTAGCTGTGACAAGGAAAGACCTGGGTAAAGAACAGCTCTACAACGGACTTCTACTGGGGCTGGGCAAAAAAGATGACCAGCAGAGATTATCTTCTGGATGGATTCATCTTCTCCACCATCAGGTCCTGGTGTGGGCTTTCCCAGATTGATCCATCCTGACCAACCACATGTCATATCATGACCCCCAGGGCAAGCTGTAGTTGTAGGTGGGTGAGTTGTAGTTGTTTCAGTTGTGGTCGAAAAGGTAGAAGTAGTTGTAGATGGGTGAGTTGTAGTTGTTTCAGTTGTGGTAGAAGGTGTAGTAGTAGTTGTAGATGGGTGAGTTGTAGTTGTTTCAGTTGTGGTAGAAGGTGTAGTAGTAATTGTAGATGGGTGAGTCATAGTTGTTTCAGGTGTGGTAGAAGGGGTAGTGGTTGTAGTAGTAGTTGTAGATGGCTGAGTTGTAGTTATTTCAGTTGTGGTAGAAGGTGTAGTAGTAGTTGTAGATGGGTGAGTTGTAGTTGTTTCAGTTGTGGTAGAAGGGGTAGTAATAGTTGTAGATGGGTGGGTTGTAGTTGTTTCAGGTGTGGTAGAAGGTGTAGTGGTTGTTGTAGATGGGTGAGTAGTAGATGTTTCAGTTGTGGTAGAAATGGTAGTAGTAGTTGTAGATGGGTGAGATGTAGTTGTTTTAGTTGTGGTAGAAGGTGTAGGTGGTTTGCTAGTAGAAGAAGTTGTAGCTGGAACTGTAGTAGAATGAGGAGGAGATGTTGGACACCCACAGCATTTCAATTGAATCTCATAATCAAAACACTCTTGCTCAAGCCCTTGTTGTTTGTTGATACATATGAGACCTGCATCTGTATTGCAAGTCACATCTTGTCCTAGCTGTGACAAGGAAAGACCTGGGTAAAGAACCGCTCTGCAACGGACTTCTACTGGGGCTGGGCAAACAAGATGACCAGCAGAGATTATCTTCTGGATGGATTCATCTTCTCCACCATCAGGTCCTGGTGTGGGCTTTCCCAGATTGATCCATCCTGACCAACCACATGTCATATCATGACCCCCAGGGCAAGCTGTAGTTGTAGGTAGGTGAGTTGTAGTTGCTTCAGTTGTGGTAGAAGGTGTGATTGTAGGTGTAGGTGGGTGAGTTGTAGTTGTTTCAGTTGTGGTAGAAGGTGTAGGTGTCTTGCTAGTAGAAGACGTTGTAGCGGGAACTGTAGTAGAATGAGGAGGAGATGTTGGACACCCACAGCATTTCAATTGAATCTCATAATCAAAACACTCTTGCTCAAGCCCTTGTTGTTTGTTGATACATATGAGACCCGCATCTGTATTACAAGTCACATCTTGTCCTAGCTGTGACAAGGAAAGACCTGGGTAAAGAACAGCTCTACAACGGACTTCTACTGGGGCTGGGCAAACAAGATGACCAGCAGAGATTATCTTCTGGATGGATTCATCTTCTCCACCATCAGGTCCTGGTGTGGGCTTTCCCAGATTGATCCATCCTGACCAACCACATGTCATATCATGACCCCCAGGGCAAGCTGTAGTTGTAGGTGGGTGAGTTGTAGTTGTTTCAGTTGTGGTCGAAAAGGTAGAAGTAGTTGTAGATGGGTGAGTTGTAGTTGTTTCAGTTGTGGTAGAAGGTGTAGTAGTAGTTGTAGATGGGTGAGTTGTAGTTGTTTCAGTTGTGGTAGAAGGTGTAGTAGTAATTGTAGATGGGTGAGTCATAGTTGTTTCAGGTGTGGTAGAAGGGGTAGTGGTTGTAGTAGTAGTTGTAGATGGCTGAGTTGTAGTTATTTCAGTTGTGGTAGAAGGTGTAGTAGTAGTTGTAGATGGGTGAGTTGTAGTTGTTTCAGTTGTGGTAGAAGGGGTAGTAATAGTTGTAGATGGGTGGGTTGTAGTTGTTTCAGGTGTGGTAGAAGGTGTAGTGGTTGTTGTAGATGGGTGAGTAGTAGATGTTTCAGTTGTGGTAGAAATGGTAGTAGTAGTTGTAGATGGGTGAGATGTAGTTGTTTTAGTTGTGGTAGAAGGTGTAGGTGGTTTGCTAGTAGAAGAAGTTGTAGCTGGAACTGTAGTAGAATGAGGAGGAGATGTTGGACACCCACAGCATTTCAATTGAATCTCATAATCAAAACACTCTTGCTCAAGCCCTTGTTGTTTGTTGATACATATGAGACCTGCATCTGTATTGCAAGTCACATCTTGTCCTAGCTGTGACAAGGAAAGACCTGGGTAAAGAACCGCTCTGCAACGGACTTCTACTGGGGCTGGGCAAACAAGATGACCAGCAGAGATTATCTTCTGGATGGATTCATCTTCTCCACCATCAGGTCCTGGTGTGGGCTTTCCCAGATTGATCCATCCTGACCAACCACATGTCATATCATGACCCCCAGGGCAAGCTGTAGTTGTAGGTGGGCGAGTTGTAGTTGTTTCAGTTGTGGTAGAAGGTGTAGGTGTTTTGCTAGTAGAAGATGTTGTAGCTGGAACTGTAGTAGAATGAGGAGGAGATGTTGGACACCCACAGCATTTCAATTGAATCTCATAATCAAAACACTCTTGCTCAAGCCCTTGTTGTTTGTTGATACATATGAGACCTGCATCTGTATTACAAGTCACATCTTGTCCTAGCTGTGACAAGGAAAGACCTGGGTAAAGAACAGCTCTACAACGGACTTCTACTGGGGCTGGGCAAAAAAGATGACCAGCAGAGATTATCTTCTGGATGGATTCATCTTCTCCACCATCAGGTCCTGGTGTGGGCTTTCCCAGATTGATCCATCCTGACCAACCACATGTCATATCATGACCCCCAGGGCAAGCTGTAGTTGTAGGTAGGTGAGTTGTAGTTGCTTCAGTTGTGGTAGAAGGTGTGATTGTAGGTGTAGGTGGGTGAGTTGTAGTTGTTTCAGTTGTGGTAGAAGGTGTAGGTGTCTTGCTAGTAGAAGACGTTGTAGCGGGAACTGTAGTAGAATGAGGAGGAGATGTTGGACACCCACAGCATTTCAATTGAATCTCATAATCAAAACACTCTTGCTCAAGCCCTTGTTGTTTGTTGATACATATGAGACCCGCATCTGTATTACAAGTCACATCTTGTCCTAGCTGTGACAAGGAAAGACCTGGGTAAAGAACAGCTCTGCAACGGACTTCTACTGGGGCTGGGCAAACAAGATGACCAGCAGAGATTATCTTCTGGATGGATTCATCTTCTCCACCATCAGGTCCTGGTGTGGGCTTTCCCAGATTGATCCATCCTGACCAACCACATGTCATATCATGACCCCCAGGGCAAGCTGTAGTTGTAGGTGGATGAGTTGTAGTTGCTTCAGTTGTGGTAGAAGGTGTAGTTGTAGGTGTAGGTGGGTGAGTTGTAGTTGTTTCAGTTGTGGTAGAAGGTGTAGGTGTCTTGCTAGTAGAAGACGTTGTAGCGGGAACTGTAGTAGAATGAGGAGGAGATGTTGGACACCCACAGCATTTCAATTGAATCTCATAATCAAAACACTCTTGCTCAAGCCCTTGTTGTTTGTTGATACATATGAGACCCGCATCTGTATTACAAGTCACATCTTGTCCTAGCTGTGACAAGGAAAGACCTGGGTAAAGAACAGCTCTGCAACGGACTTCTACTGGGGCTGGGCAAACAAGATGACCAGCAGAGATTATCTTCTGGATGGATTCATCTTCTCCACCATCAGGTCCTGGTGTGGGCTTTCCCAGATTGATCCATCCTGACCAACCACATGTCATATCATGACCCCCAGGGCAAGCTGTAGTTGTAGGTGGGTGAGTTGTAGTTGCTTCAGTTGTGGTAGAAGGTGTAGTGGTTGTAGGAGTGGTTGTTGGTGTGTGAGTTGTTGTTGCTGTTTCAGTTGTGGTAGAAGTTGTAGTAGTAGTTGTAGGTGGATGACTTGTAGTAGTTTCAGTTGTGGTAGAAGGTGTAGTGGTTGTAGGAGTGGTTGTTGGTGTCTGAGTTGTTGTAGTTGTTTCAGTTGTGGTAGAAGTTGTAGTAGTAGTTGTAGGTGGGTGAGTTGAAGTTGTTTCAGTTGTGGTAGAAGGTGTAGTGGTTGTAGGAGTGGTTGTTGGTGTCTGAGTTGTTGTTGCTGTTTCTGTTGTGGTAAGAGGCTTAGTAGTAGTATAAGTTGTAGAAGGTGCAGTGGTTTTAGGAGTAGTAGATGTCGGTGGTGGAGTTGTAGTTGTTTCAGTTGTGGTAGAAGGTGTTGTGGTTGTTGGAGGAGTTGGTGTGGTTGCAGGTTTTGGTGTTGTGTTGCATTGCACTGTCTTGCAACACTTTACCTTTATTTCGTAATCCAAACATATGGGGGGGTATTGTAAGCTGTTCTTACACAGGAGTCCTTGGTTATTACATGTTACTGTTTGTCCCATTTGCTTTAGGGGAACCCCTGGATAGTGCACCGCCTGACACTCCACTGCCACTGGATTCTCACAGATGTTATATCCTTTTTGGATGATGTGTTTGATAGTTTCATTGTCCCCTCCTCCAGGACCATATTCTGGGTAGTCTGAATTTATCCACTGTGACCAGGAGCATAATGTTTCCTGACAAGGTGTTTCAGATGGAAAAGGGGTAGTAGTAGTAGTTGTAGGTTGGTGAGTTGTAGTTGTTTCAGGTGTGGTAGAAGGGGTAATGGTTTTTGTAGTAGTAGTTGTAGGTGGGTGAGTTGTAGTTGTTTCAGTTCTGGTAGAAGGTGTAGGTGGTTTGCTAGTAGAAGACGTTGTAGCTGGAACTGTAGTAGAACGAGGAGGAGATGTTGGACACCCACAGCATTTCAATTGAATCTCATAATCAAAACACTCTTGCTCAAGCCCTTGTTGTTTGTTGATACATATGAGACCTGCATCTGTATTGCAAGTCACATCTTGTCCTAGCTGTGACAAGGAAAGACCTGGGTAAAGAACCGCTCTGCAATGGACTTCTACTGGGGCTGGGCAAACAAGATGACCAGCAGAGATTATCTTCTGGATGGATTCATCTTCTCCACCATCAGGTCCTGGTGTGGGCTTTCCCAGATTGATCCATCCTGACCAACCACATGTCATATCATGACCCCCAGGGCAAGCTGTAGTTGTAGGTGGGTGAGTTGTAGTTGTTTCAGTTGTGGTAGAAGGTGTAGTAGTAGTTGTAGGTGGGTGAGTTTTAGTTGTTTCAGTTGTGGTAGAAGGGGTAGTAGTAGGTGTAGGTGGGTGAGTCGTAGTTGTTTCAGGTGTGGTAGAAGGGGTAGTGGTTGTTGTAGATGGGTAAGTTGTAGTTACTTCAGTTGTGGTAGAAGGTGTAGTAGAAGTTGAAGGTGGGTGAGTTGTAGTTGTTTCAGTTGTGGTAGAAGGTGTAGGTGGTTTGCTAGTAGAAGATGTTGTAGATGGAACTGTAGTAGAATGAGGAGATGTTGGACACCCACAGCATTTCAATTGAATCTCATAATCAAAACACTCTTGCTCAAGCCCTTGTTGTTTGTTGATACATATGAGACCTGCATCTGTATTGCAAGCCACATCTTGTCCTAGCTGTGACAAGGAAAGACCTGGGTAAAGAACCGCTCTGCAACGGACTTCTACTGGGGCTGGGCAAACAAGATGACCAGCAGAGATTATCTTCTGGATGGATTCATCTTCTCCACCATCAGGTCCTGGTGTGGGCTTTCCCAGATTGATCCATCCTGACCAACCACATGTCATATCATGACCCCCAGGGCAAGCTGTAGTTGTAGGTGGGCGAGTTGTAGTTGTTTCAGTTGTGGTAGAAGGTGTAGTTGTAGGTGTAGGTGGGTGAGTTGTAGTTGTTTCAGTTGTGGTAGAAGGTGTAGGTGTCTTGCTAGTAGAAGACGTTGTAGCGGGAACTGTAGTAGAATGAGGAGGAGATGTTGGACACCCACAGCATTTCAATTGAATCTCATAATCAAAACACTCTTGCTCAAGCCCTTGTTGTTTGTTGATACATATGAGACCCGCATCTGTATTACAAGTCACATCTTGTCCTAGCTGTGACAAGGAAAGACCTGGGTAAAGAACAGCTCTGCAACGGACTTCTACTGGGGCTGGGCAAACAAGATGACCAGCAGAGATTATCTTCTGGATGGATTCATCTTCTCCACCATCAGGTCCTGGTGTGGGCTTTCCCAGATTGATCCATCCTGACCAACCACATGTCATATCCTGACCCCCAGGGCAAGCTGTAGTTGTAGGTGGGTGAGTTGTAGTTGCTTCAGTTGTGGTAGAAGGTGTAGTAGTAGGTGTAGGTGGGTGAGTTGTAGTTGTTTCAGTTGTGGTAGAAGGTGTAGTGGTTGTTGATGTGTGAGTTGTTGTTGCTGTTTCAGTTGTGGTAGAAGTTGTAGTAGTAGTTGTAGGTGGATGAGTTGTAGTTGTTTCAGTTGTGGTAGAAGGTGTAGTGGTTGTAGGAGTGGTTGTTGGTGTCTGAGTTGTTGTAGTTGTTTCAGTTGTAGTAGTAGTTGTAGGTGGGTGAGTTGTAGTTGTTTCAGTTGTGGTAGAAGGTGTAGTGGTTGTAGGAGTGGTTGTTGGTGTGTGAGTTGTTGTTGCTGTTTCAGTTGTGGTAGAAGTTGTAGTAGTAGTTGTAGGTGGATGAGTTGTAGTTGTTTCAGTTGTGGTAGAAGGTGTAGGAGTAGTTGTAGGTGGGTGAGTTGTAGTTGTTTCAGTTGTGGTAGAAGTTGTAGTGGTTGTAGAAGTGGTTGTTGGTGTCTGAGTTGTTGTAGTTGTTTCAGTTGTGGTAGAAGTTGTAGTAGTAGTTGTAGGTGGGTGAGTTGTAGTTGTTTCAGTTGTGGTAAAAGGTGTAGTGGTTGCAGGAGTGGTTGTTGGTGTCTGAGTTGTTGTAGTTGTTTCAGTTGTGGTAGAAGTTGTAGTAGTAGTTGTAGGTGGGTGAGTTGTAGTTGTTTCAGTTGTAGTAGAAGGTGTAGTAGTAGTTGTAGGTGGGTGAGTTGTAGTTGTTTCAGTTGTGGTAGAAGGTGTAGTGGTTGTAGGAGTGGTTGTTGGTTTCTGAGTTGTTGTAGTTGTTTCAGTTGTGGTAGAAGTTGTAGTAGTAGTTGTAGGTGGGTGAGTTGTAGTTGTTTCAGTTGTGGTAAAAGGTGTAGTGGTTGTAGGAGTGGTTGTTGGTGTCTGAGTTGTTGTAGTTGTTTCAGTTGTGGTAGAAGGTGTAGTGGTTGTAGGAGTTGTTGTTGCTGTTTCTGTTGTGGTATGAGGCGTAGTAGTAGTATAAGTTGTAGAAGGTGCAGTGGTTTTAGGAGTAGTAGATGTCGGTGGTGAAGTTGTAGTTGTTTCAGTTGTGGTAGAAGGTGTTGTGGTTGTTGGAGGAGTTGGTGTGGTTGCAGGTTTTGGTGTTGTGTTGCATTGCACTGTCTTGCAACACTTTACCTTTATTTCGTAATCTAAACATATGGGGGGGTATTGTAAGCTGTTCTTACACAGGAGTCCTTGGTTATTACATGTTACTGTTTGTCCCATTTGCTTTAGGGGAACCCCTGGATAGTGCACCGCCTGACACTCCACTGCCACTGGATTCTCACAGATGTTATATCCTTTTTGGATGATGTGTTTGATAGTTTCATTGTCCCCTCCTCCAGGACCATATTCTGGGTAGTCTGAATTTATCCACTGTGACCAGGAGCATAATGTTTCCTGACAAGGTGTTTCAGTTAAACGTTCTGTTGTTGGAGGTTTTGTGGTTGATCTTGGAAGTGTTGTAGAAGGAGTAGGTTGTGTTGGACATGCGCTATAATCACAACATAGAACTCTGACTTGGTAGTTAAAGCACAAGGCCAGCGGTCCTGACTGGTCTTCATTTCTGCAAGTCAGCCCCTCAGCCAGATGACATTGCACCACTTGTCCTACATTGTCTATGGTGACATTGGGGAATTTCTCAGCTCTGCATTGGATCTGATTTGGCTTTTCGCATATCTTGTGCCCTGCCTCTCTAATCTTTTCATAAGTTTCATTGTCTCCTCCTGGAGTTCCCAGTGTAGGGAAGCTGGTATCATACCATGGCGACCATGCACAGGGATTACATGTGACTGTGACTGATTCTGTGGACACACATAATTAAGGTGTTGATTATGTAGGAAATCTTACATATTACACAACTGTATATGTCTCCAGCTTACAAAATAAATACCTTGCACATACCTAAGGTGGTTGATGTAAAAACAAATGTGGTTGGAGACTGAGTGGCTGTAGTAGTGGTTACAGTGGGCATAGGTGTTGTTGGTTTAGATACTGGGCATCGGTATGAGCTCTTGTCAGTGGTACCATTCTTCCCACACACTGCTATGATGCAGTTGCCATGTCCATCTGTTGTGTTATAGATCGTCTTGCCAGGGGGATATTTACTTCCATGATACGTGCAAGTACAAGCTGTAAACCAAAGAGATGTATTAGTAACATATTAACTGAATACAAGTTTGTATTTTTAACTTAAACTCTCCAAATCTTTGTATACCTTGGGCATCGTAATGGCATTGGATGGTCATTGAACTGCATGTACTTCAAAAGACAGAACATTAAAAATAATGTCAGTTTTAATTTCAACTCATCACAAGGTTACAAAACCTTGATTGGCACATGTAATTTATGCAAGTCCTACCATGTATGACAGTTTTCAGTTGTCGGCACTTTGTCATCATTATTATAGTGTCTCCCTTCTTTATCATAGCAGCCGCATCCTTCTTTCAAAACACATGTCATCGTATCCTCATCAAAGTATGGCTTAGCAGGTGGACATTTTGGATAGCAACCTAATTAAAAACAAACAGCTGTTTATTTAGTGCAAGATATGGGTTCTTTAATACGTGTCTACATTATTAAAACCATTGTTACTACCAGTTGAAAGAGGAAATTCTTTTTCGTTCACCTGGCAAGTGGTTGAATGGGATATTACTTTGCCTACCAATTGGTATGATCAATCTTGGATCTCAAATTTAATTTGATGAGCTAATCACGTTAAGTAATAAAAACCTAATCTTGTACCTTCGAGAGGTGGTATCTGTGTAGAGCAGCTGCCTGAGGGGTTCCTGCAGGTTTTCATACAAGGAGATCCACATGGCATGTAGTGCCATTCACATTCACCAGGGGGATTGTAGTAATCACAGAAGATAGCTGGAAAAGACAATAATATTTATTTTATATAAGCATGTTCCAGACTGGAATATTCACAGAGCATACTGATCAGTTAATCACTAATCAGTTAGCTAAACTTCAAGCATGCCTTAAGGATGTAAAAACACGGATTCCCTGCAATGTTCTGATGTTAAACTCAGAAAAAACTGAGGTTATTGTACTTAGCCCCAAACACCTCCAAGACGCATTATTTAAAGATTTTTGTGTATTCTGTGCTAGTATGGGATCCATGGTGGCATGCACCTAATGGATTCAGTTTCCTTTGTTTTTGTAAGCCATGCTGTTGTGAAGACATGCTTTTGTGTTAATAAGTTATAATTGTTATATCCAGTATAACCAAACAGTGAAGATTACAATAAAAAGTGACAATGAGTACATCTGAACCGAATTTTATTCTGATGCCTCCCGCTGACCAGGTGATAGACAACACCAGTGCATGGGTATGTTTGCTTTGTGTGTATGCTGTGCAGCCAGCTAAGTCGGAGGAGTGGGGCAGTGGAAAACTGACAGGTACGAGTAGTGCCAGGGACTTGAAAGGGTTCCAGAAGAGAGTTGTCTTTAAAGATGCTAAGATGCTAAAAGTTACTTTTGGTGGCCAAACATGGATGGTTTGAAGAGATGGCCAAATGTCTTTCATCTTGTCACAAGGTTTGCCACTAGATGCTCTTCATCCCTGGGAGTTCCCACAGGAGCCATGGCATCATGTGCACATTGATATTGGAGATCCAATTGAAGGCAAAATGATTCTTGTTCCGGTTGAAACCAGAGAAAATGGCCTGAAGTGGCTCCCATGAGATCAACTACCACAGAGAAGACACAGACAGAAGTTAGGAGAAATGTTTAGACGTTTCAGATCTCCTACACAGCTAGTCTCTGGCAATGGATCTCAATTTGTCTCAAAGGAAATGAATGCATTTCTGCAAGCGATTAGAGATACCATACTGCATCAAATGGCCTTGCAGAAAGGATTGATCAGAAAATGAAACATGCACTGAAGCATCACAAGGTCAAGGAGCACTGCATTATAGACTGCACAATTGTCTGCTAAACTATAGCAACAGTCCACATGCAACAACAAAGACATCTCCAGTGCCTGTGGAACTGTCTCCTGGAGATTCTATAGGTGCACTAACCAACACACCAAACAAACTGTCCCTGCAGACCTCCGATACCCCACGTTACAGCCTGTATTATTAGGCTAATAGTTACTAACTCATTCAGAATAATCCCCATGGGTACAGTCAGGGGCCAAGGTATTTTACACTTGCCCTAAGGTAGCATAGGGAAGATGTGAAGAAAGGTTTCTCAAATAGAATGGGATCTATGGTGGGATGCACCTGGCTTGTGGGTAACCTTCAGTTTCCTTCATTGTTGGAGCCATGCTGCTGTGAGGAATAGCCAAACTCAGCTAACAAGGTGAGGCTGCTGAAGATGGTTTACTGTCAGAAGTCATACACCATGGCAAGACTGAGCACAGCAATAAGACGCAAGGTAGTGATACTGTAAAAAACAAGGTCTCTCCCAGGCAGACATTTCAATACAGACAGGGGTTTCTAGATGTGCTGTCCAAGCTCTTTTGACGAAGCTCAAAGAAACGGGCAATGCTGAGGACTGTAGACACAGTGGTCGGTCGAAGAAACTTGCTGTAGCAGATGAAAGACAGATCCTGGTCCCTTCACAATTGGAAGATGTCCAGCGTTGTCATCAGCTCAGAACTGAAAGAAAACAGTGGGAACCTGGTACACCCATCTACTGTCCGGAGAAATCTGCTCAGAAGTGGCCTTCATGCAAGTCTGGTGGCCAAAAAGCCTCTGACATGGAAACAAGGCCGAGGGACTCGTGAAATATTTGGCTGTAGCAGAATGCAGTTTGTTCACCGAAGGGCTGGACAGCGGTACAAGAAGTGGGGTGTCTGCAGTCAACAGTGAAATATGGTGGAGGTTCCTTGCAAGTTTGGGGCTGCTTTTCAGCAAACTGAGTTGGGGATTTAGTCTCCTTAGTGATGAGGAGTACAGGCAGATACTTATGCATCATTGGCCCCAAATTTAGTTTGCAGCATGACAACGATCCCCAAACATACAGCGAAAGAACAAGGAGTCCTTGAAGTAATGGTATTGCCCTGTACATAGCCCTGATCTCAACATTATCCAGTCTGACTTTGATTACATGAACAGAGAGAAACAACTTAGGCTGCCTAAATCCACAGAAAGACTGTGGGCAAGCCTATCTGCAGAGCTTCTTCAAGTACAAGTGTACCTAGAGGTACTGATGCTGTTTGAAGGCAAAGGGTGGTCACGTGAAATATTAATTTGATTTAGGTTTGTCTTCTGTTCCCTCACTTTGAATTTTGTTAATTGATAAATATAAAATATTAACATTTGTCTTTTGTTTTTTTTCAAAGCATTCTTACTTCACTTCAGTTTTCTGAAACTTGTGGTTGTACTTTAGAAGACCAAGGACAAAAATGTAGCTATTTCTGATGACAAATGGTTATACTTAGTTATTAGTTAATAATTATAATTTGTCATGGATAGAGGTTCAGAGAGGTTATTACAGATTTGATATTACAGTGATATTACATTAGTGATAGGTATATACAATTTTTACGAGTTTAGCTCATATAAACTGTATCAATTGTATGCTGACTGTAGCTTTTCAACAAGGAATGCCTGCTCATGGTTACTCACGGCAGATCTTTGGGGTTCTCCATCGTACACAGATGCCAGCTTGATTACAGGATTCAGCATAAGCAGCCACAGCAGTGCAGAAACACTCGCAGTCTCCACCAGTGTCACAAGCGCACGAATCAAACACACATGCTTCATAGTATGGAGCAGGATCCACCTAAAGACAAGTTTATGATCAGAGTCTAATGAGTTGAAAGGTAAGAGCATCTCCACAACATAAAATGCTTTATGGAGGAAATAAATTTCTTCTTTTTGTTCAATAAGAAGCATTTATTACTTGAATCCGATAGCTACAATTACAAATTACAAGGGCTGTCCCCGACTAAGGATTTACATAGTCGAATCAGAATCGTTAAGTCCTGCCTGTAGTCGACTGATAGTCCAATCGTGTGTTTTTGTGCGCGCCCATTGAGAGCGGAGGGCTTTTTGAAGACCCTTTTCTTTAGGTTAGGTGATCCTTGTTTCACTGCGAAGCTTCGACTGTGAGATTGACAATCAAATCAGGCTCCGCCCATCGAAGCATCGGATCTTCAACTATTGTGGTTCAGCCCTACAAATTACTATTAATTAGTAAGTATCAAAAACAATGCATGGTTTAAGATTTTTTTAATAGTCTTTCATCCACTCAAAGCACTTTTACCTTACTTAAGTAAGGAATTTTTTTAATGAGTATTTTTTGGCATTGTGGCATTGCTACTTTTATCTGAATACTACTCTCTACTCTGAATTTATGAAAATACTGTGTATGCTACAATCTGTTATGTAGTTATATAATTTTTTCATCATGATAGTCCATGCCATATATTTTTATTATACTGGTTTATTCTGTACAAAGGACATCTGTTGCATGTCTGTCCATCCTGGGAGAGGTCTGCCTCCTTCGTTCCTTTGTTAAAGCCAACAGAGGCAAATTTGTGATTTGTGACATTGGGCTGTATAAATAAATATTTAGATCAATAAATTCACTTGAAGACAAACAGTTTAAACAAAACTGTATGCACCTCTGCTGCTTCATGGCAATGTGCCTATTAGGTTTTATGATGACTTAACAAAGTAAAGAGTTAAACTCGTGAATAGTCTAGTTTGGTCTGAAAAAAGTTTTGATGGTACTGATCATGTTCCTTATGTTGGAAATTATTGCCCTGTATGTCCAATATAGCCCCACTAGCAGAAGGTAAAGGGTTTAAACAAATTATTCAGATAAGGAATGCTGGGGATTAAAGCAAGTTACATGGCAATTTAGGCATTCGCCTTAGCGATGCCTTTTCAAGGATTCACATATTAAATTTCTCAAAGTCTGTCCAGCAGCTGACATATATTCTGGATGGTGTTGGAGGGTCACACTGAGGAACAAAAATCTAACATAATTAGGCTTGCAGGGTAAAAAGAAAAGAAAAACTTCAAAGACAGCTTGACCTCAACAACAACCTACAGTGGAGTGGCAGGCTGAGAAGACGTCGCTCTGTATAATGCTGCACTGTTTCTGGGCCCAGTTCTGTCTGTATGGGTTGGTTGTACAGGGGCTAGTGATGCTTGTAGCATCGGCGCAGCTTGGTAAATCCTTCCAGCTGTTTCCGAACGTCAGCGGGTTGACCACTACAGCATTGCACCTTGTAGTGAAGTCATTGTTTGCATTGCCGTCATAGCTGCCACACAGCCCACAAACACGACCCTGAAAAAGCAGAGCTCCTTATATTATGCAGTGCAACTTAAACATCAAAACAAAGCTTGTATTTTCTTCACTTAACAAATCAATTGTAGTCACATTAAAACCAATACCTTTTTTCAAATATTGCAGTGTTACCTTATATTTTGGGTTGAGCTTGATGAACAAGCTGGTCTTCCTGTCCCACATGAGAATGAGTCCATTGTTGGCTTCAATTACCAGGTAGATGCCCATAGTGCTGTAACGGAATGGAACTGTTTCTTCATTTCCACTTGAAAGCAGCTGGTAACTTCCCTCTGTTAGAATCAGTTCTGCAGTCTAAACAAAGAAAAAAAATACATTGTTTGTTGGTCAATTCTACCTACATATACTGTATAAACTGCGGATTTCCCTCATCTCAACTAAGAAGAAAACGTCTCAGAATATAGCACTGGAGCCATTACTTGAAGCTGTATGTATATGCATGCATGCTGGCACTTTTTGTTTTCAAGATTTTTGTGTAAAATACCAAGTTAGAACTGAAGAACCCTCTTGGATAAGAGGCAAAACGTCATCAAGAATCTAAAGCACACTCAGTTGCCTCTGACGTAGCACCTCTAGATACGTCCAATCAGTTTATTTGTGTAAATCTATCTTGAGTTTTTTTAAAGGTTTTATAGGACTATCTACCCCCAGGAAAATCTTGATGGTCTTGGAGCAGGTGGTTCCTGTGGTTCCACATGGAACATTCTCAGTGATTACTCTGAAGGTTCCATTACTCTGGGCACTGCCACAGTAGTCCTGAGGAAGAGTACACACACACATACACACACACAATCAAATAATCAATATTAGTGACTCTGCTTGACTTCCTGGTTCATTTGTCAGATCAATGGAAAAGATGCTTTAACTGAAGCATTGAAGTCACATTTGGTGGCAAACTAAAGTATTATATTACTTCTAGAATACTGACTTCTATGATAGTAATCGTTCATTCTTGAAAATGTCACAAAGCATGTTGACATAGTTTTCATTGAATACACGTGCACTCCTGTGTGGTGATGCTGCAGTGGATAAGACACAGGCCTTTGATGTGGGAGACCAGGGTTTGGTTCCCACTGTGACACATCCACCAATCTGTCCCTGAGCAACACACTTAACCCCTAGTTGCTCCAGAGGCGGGCGACCTCTGACATATAGAGTAAGTAAATAAAAGTGTCAGGTAAATGTTATGGAACCATGTTCAAAACTGTGTGTCTGAAAATGCACATTAGACTGATCATCAACTGCTTTTGTGCGCATTCATACCTGAGTGAGAATGTATTCACAGCTGCCATCAAAGGTGAAGCGCTTCTGATCAAAAGTCATGTAGTGTCCATCACCATACACAGAGCAGGTTCCATCACACTCATTGCTAGTGCACTGCCACTTCCTGTCTTTACAAGTGCTGTAAAGGGATACAGATGTGTTTGTACACGTCAGTTACAGATGGAGGTTTAACCAAAAGAATTCAGTACCAAGCATACTTCTAGCTTTACAACATTACATTCCACTTGTGATTCACTTACCAGGTGTTGCAGTCCACCTTGGTGGTCTGTCCAGGCTGGAAGGAGATGCCGTTGTGAACACAGGGACAGGCCTCTGGCTTGATGCAGCCTCCCTTGCCGTCAGATACCATCCCAGATGGGCACATGCAGCCGGAGATGCACCCCGTGGTCACCTGGAGAGAAGATCCAACTTCATATATAACAGTCATATGTTTCATTTCTGCTCCAGCAGAGAAAATGTTTAACTTGACCTCAGAGCTCCGATTATCTGAAGATGTAAATGTTCCTTTATTTTGGGGAAGAGGTGACTCACACAGGCCATATCTAATGTGTTGCAGCTCTTCTCACACTCAGTTCCTTTTGCAGCTGGACCGTTAGCAGAGCAGTTGAAGAACACCATGGGAGGAGTGCAGGCTGCTGAGAAAAGACATCATCCAAAATGACTTCACTGTATTTCTAGAATGAATATAGGTCACTAATGAATCTCAGAGCACATATTGGTTCATATTATTAAGACTTTTACACAAAGTTTGGAACAAGCCCCATGAATCTGAAGCCTAAGAATCAAAGTTACACATGATTGCAGAACAAGCATTCTGTAGTTTTAAGGGTAGAATTAGTAGGATATGAATAGGATATTTTCATCCATCATTTCTGAGTCAGCACATTTAAAGCTCATGTTGTCTCTTGTGTGTTTAACCTGTACACAAACAGAAATGTAAAAATTATCATGTATGCTTAATGTAGATAGTTACATATTGAAACTATTTCTTGACAGGCAACAGCTGGGTGCAGTGGCAGCTAGCCAATAGAGGGTCCTAGGGCACTGCCCACCCTGGTGGAAAGTGTTTTGATTTTTCACATTTTTGAAATAAACAATAATTACTCTTTATTATTATAATTACACTTTAAGTATATGTGTGTTTAAAATTGTACAATAACGTTTAATATATAAAATAAATAATAACTAGAAATATCGCCCAGGCAGTATAGCAGCAAGATATGCCCATAGCAACATAAATTAAGCCAATCAGCGTCCTTGAATCTGATGCCTGAAGCAGAGTCAGTCGGTGGTAGAGTAGGGACACCTGACCTGTAACTTACATGGCTGCACAATAAACTCTCCAATGCAGCTGAGTTTGCCCTCCTTACAGGTGCTAGTGGGGAAATAAAAAGAACCCACATCAATATACATATAAGCTTGCAACACATTGATGTAATATTTTCAGAATATCACAAATAAGGTAAAGAACAAAGAGTCACATGGTATTCTAAAGGTCCTTAATCCAAAGGGAAACCGCAAGAGTCAAAATTCAAAACCTGCCTGTCGATTGCTGTCACTCTCACATTTACTGACAGGACTTTGAACATATTGACTACAATGAGTCAGTGACTTTAATTTATAATGTGCTCTCAGTTGAGCCTACCAAATCCCAAATACATATGCAATAACACAATCAAAAACGTATGCAATATATCATTTTCATACCACATGACACCTTCCTTGTTGACAACCTGTCCAGGAAGCACCACAGAGCCTTTGTCATAGCAGGGACAAGCAGTAGGTGGGACACACTTCCCAGAGTCATCCAGATAGGTTCCCTCTGCACAGATACAGCCATCAATGGGTGGGAAGGAGAAGTGGCAGCTGAGGTCTGTGGTACCGATGCAGCGGCAGGTGCGACTGCTGGACGTGATGTTGTAGGAGTAATTCATGTTGCTAGGGCAGGAGCTGGCATATTTCCCTGTAAAGGTCAGACCACAGAATTACTGAATAACTGTTGCACTGCCACATGAAAATGTTTTTGTACAAGTTATCCCCTTTTGTGACAATATCACAACAAGATTTCGTTTGTAGCTTTGCTGTTGTGTTTTAAATCTACCCTGCCTTCCAGGCAGCTAGATTTAGTTAGCACCAACAGTGTTGGATATGGGGCCATCATTGTAGTAGAGTAGAGTGTAGAGTTGTGTAACTGCATTTCTGATCTCTAAATGTGTACTGAGATTTGTGAATGTGTGCAGGAATCTGCAAATGTGTATTTAGAATCTGTGTGCCCATAATCAAATTAGTAAACAGTTAATACGTGCGTATAAAATAAATGCGTATGTAGATTAACTACATTTTTCTAAAAGCACACCCATTTCCCTAAACCCTGCACACTGCACCTTCATTTCTCATTGCCTACGCCATGTGGTCATTGAGAAAGCACAGACATTCAATATTGTTCACTCAAGTCAGCATATGTTGAGCTCAATTAGCACACAGCTACCCAGTCATAATTGATAACACACCAATCAGAACCTATAATAGATAGACAAAAGGGCCAGAGTCAGTTCATCCTGTTTTGCAAGAATGGATCCAGAGAAATCTGAAGGAAGACGTGTAGGACACCAGAGAGGAGAAGGAGGAGGAGGAGGAAACACAGTATGGAGAGGTGAAGGAAGAAGAACAGTAGGAGTTGGAGGAGGAGATGGGATAGGAGGAAGATGAGGAGGTGGAGAACAAGAATCTCTGGCCTGTTGCATGCCTAAGACAGGATGCTGGGGCAGAATAATTAGTTGTTTTGTGTGTTGAACGGTTCAGTCCATTAAGGAATCAAACATGTGCAAATGTTTGTTAGTTTTGAGTTTATCTCAGCAGCTTGTCAGACTGTGATGTAGTGTGTGTTTTTGAGGCCTCGTGTGTTATGACTAAGCAAAGTTTGGTTTTTCAGCAAGATTGAATGGTTTGAGTGGAGAGCTTAGTTCAGAAAGCATAATTTCTCCCAACACTACTAGGGAGTCCTAAAAAACGCAGGTTGAGAGATTCCAAAAGTGGTTTAACACAAAGATTTATCTGATGCTTTATCAAACTGACATCTGATGTTTGTGAGGACGCTGGGTCTAATGGAATGTTTTGATTTTTTATGATTTATGAGAAACACTCTTTTGTTTCAAAGTTCCTCACTACTCACCGCAGATAGTATCCCTCCAGTTGCTAATCTGGATTCCTGCAGCTGCACAGGCATGGACATAGGAGGAGACTGCAGCGCACATGCAGTCCTCACTTTTCTCACAGTTACAGCTGTCATACATGCAGTTCTGTGAGGATCCAAAATAAAAACGAGTTTATTGTGAGGTCATATCCCAGGTCTGGAGAATGGTCCAGGTCCAGTCCACAAAAATATGCAGCAGCTGTAGCTGTGAGACTTACCTCTTTGTAAGAGTCCGGGCTGATCTCTGAGAGACAGGCGGCGAACACTCCCTGAGGGTCACTCAGCATGGAGCACCAGTGCTGGGCATACCTCTCTGTCAGTTATACACAAGTGACCAATATTAGTCATCATGAAGAACCCACAGTGATAACAGAGAATCCACATGAGTCTGACCTACCATTATCCAGACTCAGACTGCAGGGGTTCTCAAAGCTGTTCTTAACGTCGGGGCAACCAGCATGTGTCTTCCAGCTGTTGACAAAACCAGCTGCTGTGGCGTCTGGAACGCCGCTGAGTTTAAGAAAGTCATCAGCCTGGTTACTGTTGAGGTTTCCACACAGACCTGCAGGTAGACACCATAATCTTAGTTGCAATACCTAACTTTTACTTTCGAGGGAAACTGGATCCATTCTGTGGGCACCAAAAATCATCACTACACAAATCATTTTAGAACGTTGTCACTATGGCTTCATCATGTCTTTCTGTCCGTATGTCTTTCTTCTGCTTTCATACTAAAATAGACTGATAAATGATTAAGTAAATGAAAATGCACAGCAGTCCAGTCTGGTTCCAAACTACAAATATTCAATATGGGGGAATTTTGCAGAACTTATTGTAAGTGATAGGTAGCTGAATTTGCTAGGGTTTTGCAATTTTCACTAAAATTCAGGTGAAGATTCTTTGATTCATGAGAGTGTAAATCATGCTGTCCATCAATTAGATATTTAATAACCATAAAACTAATAATTTTAGAGTACATACCACAGGTTTTGCCATAGTAGTCAGTGGTCACTGTGATGTAGAGCTGCATGACTGGCTGGAGCTGTACCTCCAACAGAACACCAACAGACGTCTGGACCAGCAGGTAGAAAGAAGACCCTCTGAATGCAGATATACCAGCTGTGGGTTAAGAGAAACGTTGGGGATGGGAGTTGTAAAAATGGATGGAAGGGAGGGGACAGGATTACATACTGGGCCACATTTCTCTCTTTAAATGTATTTTTATTGATGAGTTAGTTTATTTTTTATTATTTTTTACACATATAATACGCTGGAATTCAAAATCAAGGCAGGACTACACATCACCTTATATGATTTCTATAATAAGGTGAGGAAATACCTTGTGTTTTAAGGTATTTCACTTTACAGAATCAAATTACTGTGGAGTACAGAAACCAGCTTTAATGGTGTAGAAATTATGATTAGATAATATTTATTCCCATATTTGTGTTTAGGAGGGAAGTCAACACACAATTTTTACATTTCTGTGATGCTGATCTTTTATAGTTAAGCTGATGATACACGGGGCAACTTTTTGAGCAATGTTGCTGGGCAATCTTGCTAGTGGCAAGTCTATGTTCTATCTATGTTTTGAACGGATAGCGGCAGTGCGAGGCGGGTGGAGGAGTGGTGGGGGAAGGGGATTATGGTAGTAATCTTTACTCATTACCATTGACGACAACGTTGCCCTGCACGATTGGTCTAAAAGTTGATCTATGTATCATCAGTCTAATAATCTTAGAACCCATCAGCTTTTTCCTGACGATGGTTACGAAAGTCATCCAATCTAGGGTATGATAAAGAGGTACTTATGCCCGTCTGACAGGACTATGAGGCTATGTCAGACAAAAAAGGTTGGGAACCACTGGTGCATTATAAAAAGCAAAAACAGACTTTAAGTGTTAAGTGTTTAAGAGATCAGATATCATAGTTTGGGCTGCTCACATTGAAATATTTAGATATATTTATATTAAATATTTATCTAAGAAACCTGATAGAAAATTAGATCAAATGTTTATTCACTCCTCAGTCATTCAGCCAAACTGTTTGTGGTGTACATTACATAGAAAAAGTGTATATATATATATATATATATATATATATATATATATATATATATATATATGTGTGTATATGTTTTTTCAGAGGAAAGTGTTTCTCACCAGCAGAAAAGGGTAACTGAGCGTAAATGCCATTCACAAACACCTTTCCATTGGGCTGGATGGTGATCACCTTTAAGGAGAGGAGATGATATTATTGAAATCTGTGCTCAATTATGGTGCAATGACTAAAAAAAGTAATCCTGCACTGCATTAATGTGCAACAATGCATGCAAATAAAATAAATCTCCAGCTGTGTTGTAGGCTGTGGGAAATGACAGTTACCAAACACAGACTTGGTATTTGACTATGGTTATGTCCTTCCCATTTCCTTTAAATAGTAATACATAAATGCTGAACAGATTTGGAAAAATATCTTTTTATATAAAACACATTATTCAATCTGTAATATTGTATTTGGATTCAGGATCATATATTATAGACATTATACATTATACATACTTGTTATACATTCATGCCAATAAAGCTGATTTGAACTGAACTGAATTGAATCCTCCATAAAAACATCATCTGTTATCTTCAAGGATTCCGCTCTGAAAATAACAAAGCTATAATTTAAGGTTTTTTTCCGGTTAAAAGAGTGAAATAAATATTGTTCCGTGTACCATACTCACATTAGCCCCTCCAGACAGACCCAAGGTTATGGACTTGAGGCAGGTTTCAGTCTCAGTCAGTCCACACTGCACTAGGTCTCCCAGTACCACAAACTGGTTTCCATTGCAGTCCTGAACATTCAAACACAAATCTGTTCAGCTCCTGATGAATTGAAACAATATACCTGCAGAGAGCAGTGCACACAATACCAGTCCAAGAAGTGACGAGTAGGCAGCAGCACTAATACTGGTATTACTAACAGCAGCAGTATGTTTTTAAATGTATGTACCTCTTATACAGTATGTGTGTTCTTTTTTCACACCGCACTAGTCACTTGCATTTCCACCCTAACCACAGAGAGAGCTTATGTGTTGTGTAGGCCAGTAGTTCTCAAAGTGGGGTACGGGGACCCCCAGGCATCTTTAAATGGTGCCAGGGGGTCCCCAGCAAAAAGGAAAATCATTTATTTTCACTATAATTCCTTCCATAAGTAATACAGTGACAGAATGTGTCACTAATGGTCACACTTTCTGTAATAAAAACATCTAAATGCCAAAATCCTATTAGATGAGCGCTCCTGGGACCAAATCTTATCAAATGGGGGACCGAGGTCTAATTTGATGTGAAAAAGTTTGAGAACCACTGGTTCTGTTAACACGATTCCTGTGTAGGTGGAGGGAAGGGAGGGGATTAGGAACAGAAGAAAACGGAACAATGAGATATCATTATAATGTGTTCTAACTCTGTAGTGACCCTAAAGGTTCAATCCATAAATATTTTGATTAAATCACTGATTATTGCTGTAACAAAACACAGAATACGTTATGAACATATTCTTATTTTTAACACCCACCACTTTGTATTATAACTTATATTTAGTTCATTTAGTTGTTAATGTTAGAGAGTTATTGAAAGACCAGTCAATCAATTTGGAAGTGATATCAATTTCCAGTGCTCTATCTGTGATGGTACAGAGATGACAGTCTACTCACTTGTTTTTATTATCTACAACTCTAATCTCCACCATCTATCAATAATAGCTTTAACTGGTTTGAGGTTGAGGTCTTATGTAGCAGGTGTGTGTGTGTTTTAACAGCAGTGATGATGACGTGCGCTACCTTCGCCAGAACGTAGGAGCAGTCCCCATGAAAGGTGTAGGCTTTTCCATCAAAGGTGTTGACGTGAGCTCCTCCCTCCACAGAGCAGGTTGCTGGACATTTCTCCTCCACACACTTCCACTGGCCACTCTTGCACACACTGTTAGTGCACACAATTTAATCTTATTTGCCAGCACATAGCTGATCAATTCATATGCAACAATCTCGAAAACTGTGTCTCCAAAACCTAGACTAACCCAGGCTGCTGTGTGTGTGAAAGAAGTGAATCGTACAGTGTAAAATTGCTCTGAGTGGTCGAGAAGACTAGAAAGGGGCTACATAAGTACAGACCATTTACTGGACACACACTGACAAAGAAATAGACTGCTTAATGAGATTTCTCTGTTTTTTGAGCACCCAAACATTTGCCTTACTGTGGAGTGTTCCTTTGACATGCAGACAGGCTGACATACTGTATAGCATACCATGTTTTGCAGTTACTGGAGTAGGACTCTCCAGGTCCATAGATCTTGCTGTTGTAGTTGCAGGAGCACTCACTCAGTTGGACACAGCCACTTTTATTCAAATCATCCAGCACCGTTCCTGAAAGCAATCAAAGTATCACTGTACTGAAACACATTGTGTGTGTGTGTGTGTGTGTGTGTAATAGTATACATGTACTGTAGGTGGGACACTGTGCTGTACCTGCAGGGCAGAAACATCCATCAATACAGTGGTTGTCGCAGGTGTGGCTGGCCTCTGGGTTGGAGCAGGTATCAGCACAGGGACTACCACACTCATTGTACTCCATTTTGTCAGGACATGACTTCCCTGTGAATACATCATTTGACTTGAAACCTCTCTTACAACATTTATTCACAAAAACTTGACTTTTGTAGGCTGGTTCCAGCCCGTGAATGACCTGCCCAGGGTTAAGAGTATCCTTTCTTACCCTAGAACCCCTAAGCTTTGAGAGGCAAGTCTCTTAACTCAGCAGGTTAGCATATACTTTTAGCCTTGTGATGTTTTGTGAATGCAACCTCCGCTGTTGCGCTCGTCGTACATTTTTTAAGGGTGCAACATTCTGATAGTCTCCTATCAACACCAACCAACAATTTGTGATGAATTTGCTTTTATTAGGCTTACTGTACAAACTTCAATTTATGATGGCTGAAACATTTTCTTTTTTCATTTTTGTTACATCCATTAAAGATTAATATCTTTACATTTTTTTCTTCAAATCTGGCTTCGTTTGCAATTTCTTTCCATTAAATTGTGATTTTTATCCCAGACCACCTCTCCTTCACATTGAATATTTAATGAGCAGTGTCTAATGAGTGTACTCACAGCAGAGCTCTTTGGTTCGCCAGTTTTTGGGCTTGCCACCAGCATGGACACACTGTCTGGAGAACTCAGACACGGTGTTGCAAAGGCAGAAGGGGTCTGTGTGTTCTTTGCCATTGCCGCAGTGGCAGAGGTCTGCAACACAGGCTGAAGTGAAGGAGGCAACATCCAGCAGACTATGACAGCTGCTGAAAGCTGGCCCTGTAAGGATCTGCTCACACAGGGGTTTCTACAGGATAGAAAGACAGGAATAGGAACAAATGATTAGGCAGGCAAAGCCAAGATGGTGTTACATGCAGAGTAACATACAAACTGGCCTATACTCTGGATTGGCCAGACTATCCATAATTATGGGTCAATACTTTAGAGAATTGACCCATAACAGATATTTAATGATCCTGACCACATCATGTGGGCCAGGTTGATATGGTCAATTGGTTTTCAAATGAGCACAAAAAAACAAAAAGCACAACTGCTAGAAGAACACTGTGACCAAGATCTCACACAAAGAGTAGTAGTCCATTATCCTTGCCATTCTAATTAATGCAAAAACAATGAATGTCACTCAGCATGATGTCATTACATATACTATACTCCACATTCTCACTCCCAACTTGCCACATATGGCCGCTTGGTCAAGTCCCCTTGGCGTTATTTCCATGGGCACCCTCTAGCATTGATTTCTCCACAGTCAAGTTAGCAATAAAAAAATATACATCTGGTTAGACTTTCAAAATAAAACTAGTGGTTAACATTGTAAAACGGCAATTCGTTAACGTTGTATAACCTTGCAATTTGGTTAGGCTTAGGCAACAAAACCACTTGGTTAACAATACAATGCAATTGTAAACCATACAACCAATGTTAAATTTGTCCTTTCCATTTAACCCATCCTAATTAGAAGCAGCAGGCAGGGGTTCAGGGTCTTGCGCAGCTTCGGCATCGGTCCGTGCTGGACTTGAACGGGCAACCCTTTTGTTCCTAAGTCAAGCCCCACGGACTGAGATAATACCACTAATATTGCCCCCCTCGGTTAGGTTTAGAAAGAGGTCATGGTTTGGGTCAAAATAACTACGTGACTTACATGACTCGTGTAACTTACGTAACTTATGTAACTTGTAGCATAACTAAAAACAATCATTGTTGACTGTTTGTTTCTTCAGGGTGAAAGTCCGGTTTCTGACCTACCCAAACACCCCAACCACCTCCTTACATGGAATTTTCTGTTATTTATACTAGGCCTAACTTTTAGGGTCCAAAATAAGACTAAAGATCTCACCCTATTGCGTTGAACTATGATGCTAAGGGTACCACTGTAGCACAAAATTCTGGGCCCTATATGAAATCAGTCTCTGTGGGCCTCTCTTGATCCCTGTCTCTGCCGCATCTTTTGAAAAATGTTGACAAATAATTGAGCTAACAACTGTACACATAAAACAGTGGTGGTGATTAGGGTAGTCACTAATGAACCATTGTTCCCACATTTAAACAAGAAATAATATTCTGTTATTTGTGCTTATGTCTGCGAAGATTGAAATCTCACCAAGTTTCAGACCTCTTTTCTCAACACACTGTATCCTACAATTAATCCTTCGCTAAGCCCCGCCCCCCTTAGTTACTGTTGCTAAGTCCGACAAACTGTTGGCCCTGCCACTGTCTATTACTGCACTTTATTGCTACAAATATTGTCAAATTTGTTGGAAAAAGCGATCTCAGAAAGAAGCAGACAGTTTTGCAGTTGCATTATACATTTGAAGGTTGTATTCAGGCTGTCAAACTGACTCAAACTGACTCAGATGGACGTGAAATACAACAATGACAATGAAAGATAGAAGCTAAAGCCTACCAATCACACAGTACAAGTCAACCAACGCATTCCCCGACGATTGAGACAAAAGACAATGATATTAAGGATCAACACTGTTCCTGTAAAGCTAGGTAGGCCTCTATTCATTATTACAGTCATTAAAAAGCAAATGAGTAGGGCTTTATTACGTTACGTTCAGTAGGAAGTTAGCTAGAGTTAGCTAACTAACATTACATTAGGAACAACCCACAGCCGCCATTTTTCTGGATTTATTTAAATCTAAAATAAATCCAGAAAAATTTTAATCCAGAAATACTTCTCCTTTCAACCTCTCTGGGTAGCAACTAACTATTACAAGTGCCCCAGGAACAGCGTTTGACCATATCTTGGAAAAATACCACAGAAGAAAGCTAGAAAACAACTCCTTTTGCATTAAAGTGACCGGAGCACGGCCATGAAAGTGTCACACCTCAGTTAGAGCGTGTCCTACACTGTGCTGAGATTGGCCAGCTGTGTATTCGGGGCGTGGCTTAGCAAAGGGTCAGTTACTTTACTATGGTTAACTGAGATTTGTTAAGAGTATCACTCATAAAATAACTTTATCTTCTTCATGTATTAAGCATTTATCACTCCCAAGGCATATTACAACACTGAAAAATACCATCTTAGTTGTCATAGCCCTACACTGAGAAAATGCTTACTATGCTACATTATAAAAGACAACTGACCAAGACTTTGCTAGAGTCATGTGTCATTTGCAGAAACAAGAAAAAAAATATCAGCTTTCAAATAAATGATACCCTTTACATTACCATTTGTATAATTTCAGTACATTTAATCTAGCTTTGTGTCCAAGCCTATAGTGTAAGTTAGTGGTTCAAAGGCATGTAGGCCTATAAGCTAAATAATTTAAACTTTTGAAAGTTTAATTTATGATTCTGATAATAATTTATGTTCTAGGCTACTATGCAAATATGCATCAAGCTAGATTCCTGCCTTCAATCTAAACTGCTGATATTAGCTTAAACCATTCTTCAACTGCTAGTTGTGAGGGTGCTCACCTTTCTTGTGAAAGAAATTAGTTGGCAGCTGTTTTCCTTCACTTTGCTATCTTACTCTTTCCTTTCTTTCTTTTTTTGGTACCTTGGTTCCCTTTCTTGGGGACAGACATCACTGTCACAAGGCCCATTGATGCTCCAGCAACAGCCATCACTCTGCTTGAGTAGACGTCTAAAGAGGAATCCTAGGGCCTTTCTGAAACTGCTTGCTACCTACATACTTCCACTCCGTTTGCGCATTCATGCGGAGGGTCCGCCACATTGAGTGCCATCCGAAACCAATGAGGGTGGAGTGGTAGTGGGTTGTTAAACCCTAAAATGCCGAGTCAGCACCGATGCTGGCTTGTTGAAGGTGTGTAACACACTTTGCTGCACGATGGGGGACCTTTCTTTCAATTTGCGTTCCGTGTGACTTCGCCAATTAACATGTAGGATTTTTTATTTCGAAACTACACTAACAATGTCAGTGTCACGTCACCATTCACAGGTTAACAACGTAGCCCATAGGCATATGATTTATATTGAAATTTTTGATATAGGCTAAGTTAAAGAGGTGCTATATAGGCATTTCTTTACAATGAATATCAATCTTTTCATAAAAGAATATAGTATTTATTTTTCGTAAATATATAAAGTCACGTTCGACATGAACACAAACACAAAATGAATGACAAATGCTTTCAGTTTTGTTATTGCAAAAAACACACTTTTCCTCAACATCAATCCTGAATCTTAATATCACTGATGTTTATTTGATACACATATTATAGCAGTGAGTGCAGCGGTAACGTCAGATCCTATTTATGCTGGATAGAGAAGGTAGTTTGTTCAAAAGTTGTGGCTGTATTTAAACCCTACGTGGGTTAGGGAGCTCGATTTGGCCTGAAGGGTGACGCGGACCAGAGTGGAAGTGGCGAGAGTCTAGTTTCGGAAAGGCCCCTAGTGTGGGGCGGACTAAACAATTTTGCGTTTTTTTAAGGGGTCTGAGCCTCCACTATTTTTATTTTTTGGGGGGGTATGCAAAGTTCAGTCTCTCAACCAAGAAATACAACACTGCAAACAAAAACAACCTTTTCATTCCAGGCTGTTCAAGAGCCCTCCCCCCACTGGGGCCCTGGGTAATCAGTCCCACTCCTCCCCACCCACTTCCACGCCCATGATTAAGGGACTAGGGATTATTACTGTGGTTACTTCCATGCTGTGTACCAGCTTCTTGTAAATTCACTGGTTGGAATAGCCAGTATTCAGTATATAGGTTGACTTTCATTACTCATGTTTTGGGTTAACAACTTCAACACAAACTTTATGTTGGTAATATGTGTATCAGTTGTGTAACTGTTACTTCACTACTACAACACAGGAAATGCTGTTGCTAGAACACAGTTGATTGTGATACAGTATATGATGGGTGAAGCCTCACCATAGCGTTGCAGCTTTCTGCTGATTCCAGTGTGTAGTCAGAGCAGCTTTCAGTGGGACCATCCATTTTCCAGAAGTTAGCGAAATCAGCAGGAGATATTTTCACACCTGTTTGAATAATATCACAGAAAAACAGCTCAGTTCTGTGGCCTTGCCTATGCTGATTGACTTGTTAAAGTGGGTCAAAGTGTACCATGGCTGTAGAACTCATTGTAGAGCTGGACTCCATTAAAATCTCCACAAAGACCACAAGTTTGGTTCTTGTACTTCAGGTCTAGCTCCACCTGTGGGGACAAAAGCAATGCCTTAAGCAGTAGCAAGAACCTGCCACCTTAGTGACACTGTAAGTTAACTCTGTTTTAAACTACTGGTGATCAGAATAACTAATTCTTGCTGCTGCACTTGTTACATTAAGAATTATGGAGATTGTAATTTGTTTAGTGTGCAGCATAACTGAGTGTTATACTTTAAGTAATGGTCACTGCAGGCTTTTCAGTGCAACCAAAATCCTACCAGAAAAGAGTCATCCTCATTCCAAATAGCAACTAATCCAAGCTTTGCTTTGATTTTAATGTAGGTGGGAGTCTTCTCGACAAGCACTCCTGCTTGACTGAATGGTAGGATAGCTCTGCAGACAGAAGAAAAAGAAGTCACATTATTTTGGCTGCTAAGTTTTTCACAGTGTCACAGTGTTTGCATATCTGGAATCCATTCCATTCCTGTGAGTTTTTTTTTTATTGAGGTTGATATATTATTAAATACGATTCATATGTATTATCCAGTCTGAAGCAATAACATGTGTGGGCAGAGTGGAAAGGTGTTTGGGTTTTTAGAGTAAACTTACGATTTGCCATTAATGATCACTGAGCCTCTGGAGAGCTCCACCACTGAACCCTCCAGCTTCATAATGATGTTTTTGATGGTGGGATGGCCGGCAGCCTTCTGTCTTCTTATCTGGATGTTGAATTCCTTGTAACTGTCCTTGCATGAAGAGGTAAGTATGTAGTTGCAGGTGGAGTCCAACTGGAAAACGTCCCCATCAAAGGTCTTGAAGTGGAAGTTGCCCCATGTACTGCAAACCTGACCATTGTGGAGGGGACTGACACCTACAAAGACAGATCAGGATGTGATACCACAATACATTTACATAGGTCTTTACCTACATGAATGAATGCTCACACATTGCCTAGATAAGCAAACATCAGTTCACAGTTACTACGAACAATCAACAAGCTCACCTGTTATTTTCTCAGGAATCTGGGAGACGGAGGAGAATGTGTTCACAGCAGACTTTGCCTCTGTTGAAAAAAGTAAGTGTTATTTGTCAAGTAATCAATAATCAAACCTCAAACTACATTAAAATACAATATGGATAAACTTTGCAATAGCTTATGGGTAAACATTTGAACTCTTAACAGTCCCATTAGTCATATTTGTCAGGCTGCATAATTGAGAATAATGTATGTACCGCTGTGCCAAGAAGCTACGATGGCAGACAGGGTCAGCCATAGCAGCCGCTTGTTAGCCATAGCCATTTGCTTCTCAACAGGAACTCTGAGGAAGATGAGAGGGAGGCCCAGGTCTTTATACCAAGGGGGAAGGTGTTAATGTGGCAGGTGAGGGAGTGGCATTCCCATAGCTGCACTTGGTGATTCATCTCTGCTTGTTCCACCCATCCCATTTATTTCCATGATCCCTGGTTCCCTTCACACACCTGAAATGAAGGGCGAGACCATAGACCATCCACATCTGACCAAACATGGTGTTTTTACTTGGGTCCATCTGATTGGTTCTACAGATTTATAACTCCATATATAGCAAATAAGTAAGTTCTACCTGTGGCAATGACCAGTGAAAAGGAAAGCAAGGGTTTCTTCAAGCTGCAGGACACAGCTTTAGCATTATTCAAGGTCCATGTAGAAACACCCACAACTTCCAAATCTGATCTCAACCTGTGGGAATAATAGACCACCATTATGACCAATTATGGATTGATATAAGGCTTTAGATAAATAAAAGCTTCACCAAATGCTTTGCAGAGTGTTTTGATATGCTTTGCTTTATCATATTTTGACTCAAGCGATAAAGGCCTAAACCTATTGAAGGTGTGTTCAGATCTATGAATGATTACCATACTTGTCTTTTGTTTGCTTATCCCCAGCAGCCATCTTTAACAATAGCAGGACTCAACAGTGACTCAACATGAATGTAAAGCAGAGATTAAGTATATTCACCTTAGTTCATTACAGATCCATTAGTATTGTTTTACTGTCCACCCAAATAAGATAATGTGGCTGGCTGAAGTGCGTCGGCTGTAAGCTGCACAGTCATGGGTGTGACCACCATCTGTACGTCAGCAGTAATCAGCAGGTGTTTTCAGTCATGCAGTTTGACAGTAGCTCATAATAATAAAGCTATCGTGTCTTCCTGAAATAAAAATGACTCAATTAGGTCAAATTTAATTTAGGATTTGAGACTGTAGACCTCTAGTTTCACAGCAAGATGAGCAAAGCAGGGACAAATTAAACATTGTGTGGGTTTTCCTTCTACCAGCCATCTCAGGTACAGATATCATAAACCTCATCAAGGTTTAACAGAACTTTACTTATGAAATTTAATTTCACCACTGAGATCCATCAAACTCCAGACAAACTCACATTTACCTCAGCTGACATAACTCTGAGGAAAAAAACTTTATCGTTCGTATTATCAACTGCATGAAAAATGAAATTCAGGCCATATGTGGTTTGCTGAAATATGAATTCTTTTTTAACTGTAGTGTAATATTTAGTGAATTTTACATTCCTGGATCCCATTAAGTAATTTCTAATCACTATAAAATTTTAAACATTTCTATGTCAACAATACTGTTTTTCTACCTTTTTTTTATCTATCGTAAATAGAAATTATAGATAATTTATTCTTATTTTAGCCAGAGTAAATTGTCTGTACTAGGGCTGACCCTAAATAGACCCTAAAGATTCGATGCTTCATGATTCGACTGTCAATCTCACAGTGGAGGCTTCGCAGCAAAACAAGGATCACGCCATTTTGGCAATATGGGGGTGCTCAACATCCGATATTACATAGAACTACCAGTTTTCTCACAATAACTTAATATACAGCCTATTACAATACACATTTAAACGTTTAATGCTGTAAATAAACATGTAAGCCCTCAACTCCTTCAGAGGAACAGCACCGAGCCACTGGGAGAATGAGAACACTGCACCACAGAGCGGAAAACATACCAACAAGCGCCCAAGCCAGAGAGAAGGAACAGAACCACCTGAAGGGGGCACTTACAGCCTGTGGATACCCTAAATGGACCTTTGTGAAAACAGCCACAAGATCCAAGAACAAAACTACAGGGGAGGAGGAAAAGAAGGTCAAACGCAACAACATTGTGATTCCATACGTGTCTGGAGTATCAGAGAAACTCAGGAGGATTTTCAACAAACACAACATCCCTGTGTTTTTTAAACCCAAGAACACACTAAGACGGATACTGGTACACCCCAAAGACCGCACCCCCAAACACAAGAAAAGCAATCTAGTGTATGCGGTCCAATGCAGTGAGGAATGCACAGACCTGTATATTGGGGAGACCAAACAACCACTACACAAACGCATGGCTCAACACAGAAGGGCCAACTCCTCAGGTCAAGACTCTGCAGTCTACTTACATCTGAAGGACAGAGGACACTCGTTTGAGGACCACCAGGTGCACATTTTAGACAGAGAAGATGGATGGTTTGAAAGAGGTGTCAAGGAAGCCATCTACACCCGGGTTGAGAAGCCGTCTCTGAACTGAGGAGGGGGTCTACGCCACCACTTATCCCCCACTTACAATGCTGTCCTTTCATCACTTCTGACTTTAACCTTCGTTGGATAACTATGCTTTGGATGACTTCAGAATCTTCACAGGCAATAAACATGTAAAACGATAAAAAACTTCCAATAAATGTTTTTAAAGTGCATGAATAAATACAAAATTGTAACCGTAACCGTGGGTGCGTATGTGTAGGTGCAGCGTGTATGTGTGTAGTGGCAGGATGAACACTTGCTGAAGAGACGGAGCCCCATCTTCACCAGTTTGTCGAGTTGTCCGCACCTCATGGGACTTTCGGATAATTTATCACCATTGATGAATCACACAAAGAATATTTTATTGTTTTTAAACAGCCACTACTTGAAATAGACCCGAGAGGAACTGCAACGTGCATGCAGCTGTCGGCAGCACGCCAAAAACTCTGCATAAGACCGGTGAATGGCAGGTGAGAGAGAGAACGGTCAACAATAAGCCTCATTTTAGCTTTGGCTCACAATTACCACGCACAAAAACACACGAATATCAGTCGACTATAGACTTGATGATTCTGATTCGACTATGTAAATCCTTAGTTCCAGAAAAACGTTCATATAAGTCAATTGCTCAAGCAACTTATTACGACCCATATTATATTGTAGCTGCAACCTCTAGTGGCCATACGACATAGCAAAGGAGGAAGTCAGGTGTCTTAGTATAAAGAGCAACAAAGTCCATATAAGGAGGTGGATGGGGTGGGTCAAGTAAACTTAAATCATGTGACTTTTGTGACATACTTATTTAACGCAAACCACAAGCTTTTCTTAAACCTAACCAAGTAGTTTTGTAGCCCTAAACCCTAACCAAAGCGACCATTTCATAACGTTAACTACGTGTTTAACGTCATGTAATTTAATCACGAGACTTACTTGACATACTTAATTTAACCCAAACCACAAGTAGTAGTTCTGTTGCCCTACACACTAACCATACAATAACAAACCATGACTGTTTCACAACGTTCGTATCGGTCATATGTCGCTTTGGGAGTCATTGATAATCAACTTATTTTGTAATTTAGGTAGGTGAGGATATGTTGGTAAGTCATTACATAATGAGAGGCAGGTGTGTGGATTGGTGACTGGGGAATGGTGGGAAGGAGAGAATATTATTACTGACCAGGAGAGAAATGACAGGGTCTGAAACAAGAAGCTAGTCAGTACTGGGAAAATATGGAGGATGGGAATGAAAAAGTACTTGCAACAATTTTGGTGAATGACGAGACAAATAATTTAGTTGAATACATTTTCAATGTTGGTCTAGCTTTTTTTTTGTATTAGTCCATTGGCATATATATTTTGTCTCACACTGATTGCTGTTTCTGGTAGTAGCAGAGGGGCACTGAAAAAAGCCAAGAGATCCAACATCAGCCATTTCAGTTTTGGCTTTGTCTCTAACTTGTACGTAAAGTTGCACAATATTGAAATTTTCTGAGTCAGCATTGGATCAGAGAGTGTTTGGAGAGTGTTCACCTCCTTTAACTAACAGTGATAAATGTGCTGAGACTTTGGTGGTTTGGGCGCAATCACAATAAACCAGCAGCTGTGGTTTGACATGACTTCTTTTTAAGAAATATGAATGTAATTTTTTATCAAAATAAGGTTACAGTGCAAACATGCGATAAGATGAAAATAAAGCTATATTGTGTGTACAAAAAGTTCAGTGGAAACGCCCAGTTATATATTTGAGACTAATCTTTCAAATTGTTAAGGAATATGACTAGTCAAATGCCTTATGGACAATCTGAGAATTATTGCCACACATGTAGGCTACACTTTCATTTATGGGTTCTATGTTGTTTTGTGAACTGAAAAACATCTCACAATAAACAGTTTTTTGTAATAATTATGTACTTACAGAACGTAAAGGTAAAGTAAAGTCAAATGCAGTTGTAGCCCCCTCCATGCTCCATTCAGAAAAAGTATAAACAGATATACAAATATTTAATTTGAATAACGCATAAACAATACAAATAGGTGATAAAACAGAACAAATTATATAATTAGCACTAAAAGAAAACATAAAAAATGGAAACTAAGTTGTATTTACAAGGAAGATATACTGATACATATAAACATATACATACAGTACATAAAACAAGGTAGTGGTAATGTGCAAAACCAGCCTAACAGAAGGTTTCATGTCATTTATTTATCTAGATAAGAATGAGGTGGAGTTGAGGAGCTTCACAGCCTTAGAAAAGAAGCTACTCTGTAGTTCAGTGAATACTTTTGTATCAGCAGCAGAGTGAATTAAAATCCTTTGGGCTCTGCAGGCTCCTCCCCTCACCGATATCAGCTAAGCTCGAAGGATGGGTATTGCAGTAGCTATCAAAAGGTAACATTTAGCCGCTTAGAGGGCTGATATAAGGAGGTCTGCCTTGTTACAGTTTTTCTCAGTCGCTTTTGTACATTTCTCATATCAAAATTGAAATCCTCAAAACTGCATGTTCATTCCACACATCATCTTGTCAATTGTGCACATCAATTTCTCATTGTTTTGAACATATTGCAAATGCTTTGACACACTGATTCAAATGATAATGTACAACTGTTCTCAGTTGAACGTCTAGGCATAAGTTCATTGCATAAGTCATTACATGCAAAATGGCTAAACACGTTGTCAAAATCAAAGTCAAACTTTATTGTCATTCTTCGCATTCAAGTATACAGCTGAAAAAAATGTT